AAAATCATTTAAAATATATTTATATTTATTCCTCGAAGTCCGTTCTTGTGACTCAAAAGTATCAGAAGTAGAAGCAATACACCTAAACGATTGATAAAGTAGCATGGAGCTGAAAACATGTCTGCATGTTGAATACTCAGCCAAGTGAAATTTTGGCTCATGCAGGGTAACGTCAAAAGCCCTTAACCTGATTCAGCTTGAAATTTTTGTGTTTACTTCACGCTTCATAATGAATTAACAAGGGGTGCGGTTTGTAAACTTCTTGCTCCATGCATCTAACTTTGTTACGACTCTTCACGGATCTTTTTTTACCGCTTCTTGAAGTTCCAGATAGACCCGAGCATTTCCCTTTCATGACCTTTCGTATCTTTTTTAATTATACCCTAAGATTAATGTATTTGCATCATAACAAGACGTCGAAATTAATCACAGTATGAACTAACTCCTACCTTGCATTTCCTTATCCCAGTTAAACATTCCGCTCTACAAAAAAACATTCAATACTAATATTACTTGGGTGATGTGAAAAGATTACAAGAACCGCCAAACGTCTCGTTTCTTCTTTATTTCTTTTGTGTGTTTCGTGCCTTTCATGAGTCACCAATCGTAAGTGACAAACCATGAAGCCTCACAAATGAGTGAATAGAAAAAAAGGGATTTGGGCTAACCCAAGTTGTGCAGAGGAAAATAACCTCTTGAAAATTGTCCTCATACGAACCTTAATTCCATCCGGGATACCGCTATTTCGATTTTTCCAAAAGAAATTAACTGTATTGTTTTCAAAATGACTGCGTCCAAATCTGGGAGGGCCAACGGGGGGTCAACAGGCGGAAAAACAGGGGGGTCAACAGGAGGTCAACAGGGGTATGTAAATTCGGCTACCATCATTACTATCGTTGGAAGTGTTAGATCTGCCGATCCAGCCTCATTTTCATTCAAATCTTTGTTGCATTTAAAGACCCTTAAAACTTTCCGTGATATAAATTGACTGCAAAATGAGAGTCTACATGTATGTTCATATCTGTTTCGCCTTCTAAGACATTTCGATTTTACCCTTTTTATAATCATCTCCGGTTTTTCCGGTGCTGAAAATTTACTGAAATTAGTTAATTTAAAGAACACCAACATATCGAGTGAGCCCGACCAAATAGCGATGTGATCCACATTCCCAACTTTTAAACAAACAGAATGCGGAATTCTTCCTGAAATTAAAAATCCGCAATCCGTGAGTATTTTGTTTCCAAATCCTCCTGCATACATAAGCCTACTTCGTTACTTCTAGTTGAAAAGATATTGACAAAAACTGATCACAGTTTACGCACTTTTAATTCTTATCAAAAAAATTAACAGCGGGGCACTTAAACCTTGACAGCCTTGCAGGCTTTAGATCATAGGATGGCGGAAAAACCAAGCGAGCGAAAAGACAACACAGCGGTCAAACGCACAGCACGCGTAAATACGTCGAGCTCGGTTTTTCCGCGCAAACTTTTAAAGGAAAACATAACAAAAAACCAAAGTAATGCACAAATTGCGAAAAGAAAATGAATCATCTGTAAGAATATATAAAAATTAACAAATGTAAAGAAAAGGAAGGAACACAGTCATAAGGAACACTAAAATTTGAGGTATTGTTGACTGCTTGTTTTAAATTTCAAGCCAAATCAAAAGTCGTTCTCTTTGAAGTCGCCTTGAATTACGGACTCGTGTGGGTTTTTTAAAAAATTCATCAACTTGGTAAGCAAGATGATTGAACTTGTCGGCCAAGCGCCGTTCGTCTGCAATTTCACTCGTCGCCTTAAAGAAGCTAGAAATAAAATGGATTAATTCATTGACAGATTTGGCATATTTACAGTTTATCCGCGGGGAGAGTTGGAGGAACATAGACAGACAGTTGCCCAACAGGGGGTTGTCTAGAGCGTGTCGTCCCAATTATTTCCCATAATCCAGGATAGGCCGCGGATTTCGAAAAAATATGTTATCATTCAGTCATTCTCATGATCAACACGAGGTAGTTTGATAACAACACACTTTTCCAATGGACGAAAGTTCACCCATTCTTGATCAAACCTCTAGCAAATCTCGCCGAAATTCAGGATGTTATT